GCTTTTGAATTCCAAAGTCATAGACTAAGAAGGAGGGAAAAAGTTGGCTTGTTTTCCTGTCTAAATACAGAAGTTTCCCTTTCCTACTTTGACAATTTCTTTAAAATAGCAACAGAAATTGATTATTGAATCCTGTGAAATAAATCATATTCTCAGCAGGTGAAAATATTAACATAAGAATTAATGACTTGGGGAAGGGATTACCAAGTCAGCTTTCATTAAATAAATTTATTTTGTTGTTAGCAAATACTGAGTTATGTAAGAATGTATCTTTTTGGGGTAAAGTGTGTAAGTTATTATACATCAATATATACCTCAAGCTGTTCAGAAAATTACTAAAGGCAATATAATCAACACTTTTTGCTGTAAAGTAGAAGTGTCAAAAGTGAGTTGAATATTTATACCTTGAAATGTGGTTTTTATAATCTGTATATATTAATTTTTTATCATTGGCCTTTTAATGTTGTTGTTTGCATGCCAAATTGTTCCCTGTTTGATTGATGATGCTAATACCCTCCTACCACCAGCAGTAAAATAAAGTGGCATTTTTTCCTTGAGCCTTTCAAGTTCAGCACAGATGAATCCCTAGGTTAGTTACTCTTAGTCATGCATGGCTCAAGTATAGATTTGATGAAAAGTATATTCCATAGCCCTCCAGGGAATTGGATATCTTGTTAGGCAACTTGGAATACTTTCCCTTCTTATTTGCATCTCTAAATTACCTTTCTTGGTAAATTTGGGTTAAGTTGGTTCTGCATTGTCTGCTGACAACAGAAATTTGGTTGTTAAAGGCAGCAGAAAGTAAAGCTTTGACAGTTTTGAACAAGCAAAGTGGCCTACATAATTTTATTAACCAATGTCACCTCAATAAATTCAAGAAATAGTTGATAATTTGCACCCTCATGTTCATTGCAGCATTATTCATAATAGCCAGGATATGGAAACAACCTAAGTGTCTATCCATGAATAAAAATGTGGTATATGTATGTGTACAATAGAATACTATCTCCATGAATAAAAGAGTAACATACAAATTAACCATCACTCCGCTACACCAAGCCATGCCCATCATAATCAGGAGCAAGTATGCAAATTAACCCAACCAAGATAGTGGCCAGCCACATAGCTGGAGCAATCAGGAGGCTTGGGTTTCCCCTGGCGATGGAGGAAGACAAGCTTCCCACCTGCCATGGCCTGCCATGGCCTGCCATGGCCTCTGCTCAAGGCTACAAAGTTTCAATTATAGAAGATAAATAAATCCCACATAATAGGACCTCACTTGGGTCGCCAGGGGACATGGCCGGCCTGCAAACCACCACAGGCCCCTTGCCCAGGCCGCTCCCCCTCCCCCCAAGGGAACCCCTACCCTGATCTGGGACACCCTTCAGAGCAAATTAGCTGGCCCCCACCCGTGCACCAGGCCTCTGTCCTCTCTTCTAAGAGTAATATGTAAATTGACCATCACTTCAACACACAAGATGGCTGCCTCCATGTGGACACGATGGCCAGCAGGGGAGGGCAGTTGGGAGAGACTAGGCTGCAGGCAAGAGCAGTTAAGGGTGACCAGGCAGGCAGAGGAGTGAAGTTGGAGGTGACCGGGCCTGCAGGGGAGAGCAGTTGGGGGAGGGGAGGACCAGGCCAGCAGGGGAGCAGTTAGGTATCAATCAGGCTGGCAGGGAAGTGGTTAGGGGCAATCAGGCAGGCAGGCAGGCGAACAGTTGGGAGCCAGCAGTCCTGGATTGTAAAAGGGTGTCCCATATTGGAGAGAGTGCAGGCTGGGCTGAGACACATACACACACACACACACACACACCGTGCACAAATTTCATGCATGGGACGTCTATTTCATGCATGGGACGTCTAGTTCATGCATAAAAAAAAGAATAGAGTCTTTCCATTTATGACATCATGGATGGATCTTGATAGCATTATGCTAAGTGAAATAAGTCAGAAAGCCAAATACTATTAAATCTAATAAGTAAACCTATAAGTAGAATCTTAAAACAAACAAAAAAACCCCACCAAGTTTATATAATAGATTAAGGAAACAGATTGGTGCTTGCCAGAGGGGTGGGGTGGGGAGTGGGTTAATTGTGTAAAAGGAATCAAAAGGTACAAAATTACAGTATGTTTTTAATATATATTTTTTAATCCTCACCCAAGAATATTTTTCCATTGATTTTTTTTAGAGAGAGGGAAAGGGGGGGGGGGTAGCGGGGGGAGAGACAGAGAGAAACATTGATGTGAGAGAGATATATCAATTGGTTGTCTCCTGCATTGCCCAACAGGGCCAGGTATCAAGCCAGCAACCAAAGTATGTGCACTTGACCGGAATCGATTCCTGGACCCTTCAGTCTGTAGGCCAATGCTCTGTCTACTGAGCCAAACCTACTAGGGCCAAAATTCTAGTTTTAAAATAAGTTGTGGGGGTATAATGTACAGCATGGTGATTATGGTTAATAATACTGTATTATAAGTCTGAAAGTCGCTAAGAGTAAATCTTACAAATCTTCATTATGCCCAGCTGGTGTGGCTCAGTGGTTGAGGGGCAGCCTATGAACCCGAAGGTTATGGTTTAATTCCCAGTCAGGGCACATGCCTGGGTTACAGACTCAATCCTCAGTGTGGGGCGTGCAGGAGGCAGCCAATCAATGATTCTCTCACTGATGTTTCTGTCTCTCTGAAATCAAAACTATATTTAAAAGTCTTCATCACAAGAAAAATAAATATTGGTAATTATGTATGGGGATGGCTGGTCACTAGACTTACTGTGGTGATTATTTCACAGTGTAAACAAATACTGTATCATTATGTTCACACCTGAAACTAATACAATGTTATACGTCAATTATACCTCAGTGTTGTTGTTTTTTTTTAAAAAAAAAAAAAATTAAAATTAAAATAAATAAAAAAAATACTGAAAGGGAGCCAGTACCCTTGAATAGTGGTAGAGAAAAGGAACTGGAGTCCTGAGGTCATAGTTCTGAAGCTCTGGTAGAGTAGGAACCACATCATGCGGGAACTGGGCGAAAAGGAAAACCATGGTCCCAGGGATGGGATGAGTGCATGTAAGGGTTCCCCAGGGGTGTGGGGCTGGGGTTTCTAAGCCAGTTCCAGGGCGTGCCCGGAGGGGATGAAGCTGAATGAACAATGGCGAACGGGTCAGTAGCATTGCAATCTAGAGACCCAGAAAAGTCCATGATGGCAATCTAGGTTTGTGCACGGATGTTGACAAGTCTGGGGTGACTGATGCAGTTGCAGTGAAGTGAATAAATATGACAGAAGGTTTTAGAGGCAGGCTTCATTTAAATAGCAGGGTCTTAGCTGTGCAAGTGGATGACTGAGGTCGGTGGCGATGGTGATCATTGAAATCCGAAGGTCAAGGAGCTGTCACGTTGAGTGAGTGAGTCATCCGCCTGATGGTAGAGCATTGTGTCTCTGTATCTGCCAGAGCATTGAAACGGTGATGGGGTGAATGGCATTTTAACATACTTGACACAGCTACAGTGTAATATGAAAATGCCTTCTATTGATGAAAAGACGATACGCTAAATATTATTGTCTGTTGGCCTATATTTGTAATTAAAGGAAATACTATGTTTCAGTCAGAAGTTAGTGAAAATGTGTAATTTTCTTTCCTCCATCCAAGTTCAGAGGCCCTCTTTATTCTGTCATGATTCTGTGGTGAAGAAAACCCATTTTGAGGACTGCTGTATCACAAAAGGCATAAACCTGAATTTAAAAAGGTGGTTTTTGCATGAGGAAGAATTCATAGTTGAGAAGTGATGGTGCAGAGCTCAGAATATCTTTGCCCGGAGCTCCAGTGGCGCAGTCGGTTAGCGCACGGTAGTTATAAGAACATCTCCGGCACCTCGGGACCCAGTGACCACGGGGGGCGTGCGGGGCTGGAGGTGCTGGGCAGGGGCTCAGTGGGCAGTGCTTCCGTGCAGGCTCGGCTCTGAGCCCAGGAAGGCTGCCGGGGAGAGCAGGTCCTTTGTGATAAAAAGCCACACTTCAAGCCAAAACAAAAAAGTTGAAGGGAGAGAAAGCTAACTCTCCAGTAGAGATAATGTTTATACAGCTTGGGAGGCACCGTGGAAACTGAAGGAAGGGAGCAGTGAACCAACAAGTGAGAGAAGGACAGAGCAGCAGTGAACCAGCCCCAGGTCCTGGCAGAGGCTGGGATATGCGAGGCCTGTTGGGGCAGGCCTGGAGCCGTCAGGGAGGTGGTGGCCCATGGCTTTAGCTCAGGTTTCCGGGCGGCATCCTGTTGTTTGGTGCCCCTGTTCAAGACAGAGAGACCTGAAGTCGCAGTGAGACACCTAGCCCCAGCTGGTTTGGCTCCGTGGATACCGGGTTCGATTCCGGTCAAGGGCTCGGACCTGGGTTGCGGGCTTGATCCCTGGCGAGTGTAGAAGGCAACCAGTCAATGTGTCTCTCTCACATCATGTTTCTCTCTCTGTCTCTACCCCTCCCTCCACTCTCTGTAAAAACCAGTGGAAAAATATCCCCAGGTGAGGATTAACAGAAAAGTAAAAAAGAGAGAGACCTGATACAGAGAGTAAAACAGTACAGCATTCTTCTGACTTTGTTTTGGTTACTGATGCCAAACACACAAAACCATATTGAAGGTGGATGAGTAAAAATGCACATTAAGAAGAATTACCTTTTAAAAGACCAGATTTGCCATCCTACCACCCCAAGGAAGGGTTTAGGGGTGTCTGCCAAAGTAAGGAAAATAACGGTGAAATTGCATAATAAGGTACATATGTTTTGGGGGTAATAAGATTAGAAAATCTTTCCATTTATATGATTTAATTTTTAATCATCTGAAATGGATAGAAGAACTTGGTCTTTCTGACTGGGAACCTTACTTTAAAGTAGATGTTAATAATTCAATTTACATGCACATGGTCCCCCTAATGTGCATTGTATTGTTTTAACCTGACAGTAAGTTTGTTCGTCTGTAGACTGATTTTGTGTGTGTTTGTTTTTTCTAGGAATTAGCTCTCAGGAGCCAGCTACCAACTCTGGAGCCGGATGGCGGGACTCCAAACCCGGTGTCTTCTCCTGGGATGTCTCAGGAACTGAGAACAATGACGACCAATAGCTCTGATCCCTTTCTCAACAGGTTGGTGAGAGTGGCCACTGGCCAGTGTCTGAGAAAGATCACAGCTTTGAGATTATTCTCCTTAGAGCCTGTAATAAGCTGTTTGAACGTCTGTGTGGGCCAAAAATCATAGCTGTAAAGGAATCTTCCCATAAATGGCAGGTACAATAAAACGAGGATTAAAAGCTGGCTCCTGGCAGAGGAAGTGAGCTGTTCGGACTTGCAGAGGGGATACTTAATTCACAGTCACGTGTTGCTCCTGCCTATACTGTTGACTAACCCTTACTTAAAATTACAGAATCGTGGGGAAACATGTGAATGCCTTTCTATGAAAGCAAATGAACTGCATCTTAAACCTGCTTAGGGGCTGTAGGCTGCACTAGAAGGAAGATGGGAAGGAATTTTCCACATAAGTGTTCACCCTGAGTGCTTCACGCAGCAGCACAGCAAGGCCTTGTGCTCATAAAGGAGATGAAATGTAAATTGTGCTTTTAAAAAAGGCATTAATATTTGAGGCAGCATTTGAAATGCAGTCGAAGGAAGCCTTCGATGTTATGTATAGAGCCGAGTCAAAAACTGCAAGCTGAAACAAGGTTGTATTCGTTGCCTAGAAAACCATTTAAAATTAAGGTTGGACTAGAATTCATTCTTTTAAGTAATAAGGTATTTTAGAGTTTCAGTTTTTTAAATTAAGAAACAAATACTTTCTGGTCTTTGTGCTTTTGATTTTTTTAAAAAAAAACCTATTTTAAACACAAGTTTTAAGAGACTTACAGGTTCCTTAGTTTAGGAAAGCTATTATGCTACTCATTCAGTTCTCACCAACTGAGTTGAAAACATTATGATTTTAAGAAAAACAAACTTTGCTCTTTTGACAACATATAGTCTATTTTACTTTATTTTATTTTGGGGGAGTTTATTAAGTAAATTTAATTTCAGGGAAGGTGGGGTGGGATACAAAGCATGGGTAAAAACACTATGCTAAATATAGAACAGGCCTACATGAAATATACAGGAATTTAATGTGCTAGTTATGTAACAAAACATTCACCTCATTCAGCAGTATTTTAACCTCACGTTGACACATATAGTTCTGCCAAAAACTGAGTGTATTTATATAAGACTATAGTTCTGAACTTCAACTGAAGTTAGTTAAGAAAGATCATAGCCACAGAATTTTTGTTCCCTCCATAAGGGAAAGTTCAGATCAATATAATTCCAGAACCCATCTATTGAAGGCCTGTATTGATCCAGGGATAAAATTAGGCTATTTAGAAAAAGGGACAGAATGTATATCTTTCTTAGTCACTGGTGAAGATTCTTTCTTAAAACCTCTGAAAGCTGGGCTGTGGTTGGAGATTGTAATTTCTGGTACAGATCTCAGAGTGGCAGATCGTCAGTGATATTAGTTCAAAGGCAAAATGCTGTGTCCACTCTCTATAGTGCCTCTACCCCCATTTCTAAAACACGCATCTGACTGCACCATTTCTCTTCCACAAACTTAGGGTGGTTTCCCCATTGCCTGTTACTCAGTTCATACAGATTTCTTAAGCTCTAATCACTTCCCTAACTTGCCAAGGAGCTGACTCTTAGCAATGGTGCAACATCCCTTTACCTCCCTTTTACCCTGAGAGCCTTCAGGGCCCTCTCTGGTGTCCTGTCCACAAAACCTTCCACTGTACTTTTTAAGCTCCCTCCTCTTTGTTCTAAAAGCCACTGTGCTCGCATAGCCCTTTGTGTGATTCATTCCTGCTTTTATTTGCTCATCTCCCGCCCTGAAGTGTGAGGCTCTCAGAAAGCACCGGTGTTGGTGGTCATTGCTTTTAACCTCCTCTGCATCCGAGCCTAGTCTAATGCCTGCTGTAGTAGCAGATGCTCATGTATGTTTATGCATGGCGATGGGGTTGTGCAGGGGGCAAGCACCTCCTTGTGAGGGAAGTGGCTCTGTAACTCCGTCCTCAGGAATGCCATGTGCTTCCCTGTGGCTTGGAGAGAGCTGCACCACTCTGTAAGACCAGCTGCTCCGTAGCAGAGTCCGGAGAGTGTAGTGTGTGCCCATGTTCAGCAGTGGGAACAGTGACAACTAGGACCAGGCCTTGTCCTGGATCAGGGCGGGCAAAATAAAAACAAACCACATCCTAAGGCCTTCCCCTGTGCGTCTGCATTGTATACAAATGGTCTTAGAGGCAAAATTGTGTTTTCTTGGGTCTGTGTGAGGCTTGCCGAAATCTGGCAGAAGCATTAAGAGCAAACGAGTGGTCGCAATATACAGAGCGAGGGGAAGAAATTTGGGGGAACCGAGCTTTCAACCTTGAGCAACTATTTAAGCTCCTTTATAAAGCTTAGTTGTTTTTGTTTGTTGGTTTGTTTTTGTTAATCCTCACCCAAGGATATTTTTCCATTGACGTTTAGAGAGAGTGGAAGAGAGAAACATTGATGTGAGAGAAACACATCAATTGGTTGCCTCCTGCATGAGCCCCAACCAGGGCCCAGGCCGGGGAGGAGCCTGCAACTGAGGTGCGTGCCCTTGACCGGAATCAAACCCGGGACCCTTTGGTCCACAGATCATCTATCCACTGAGCCGTCTAGGACTGCTTTTGTTTTTTAACATTTATGTAAACTAAATAGCTGCTTACATGTCCAAGCTGTGAGGTAAGTTAAAGTTTACATCATGGTCACAGACCCATGGACAACAGTTGCTTACATTTCACACTTTGCCATAGAACTTCCTAGAATTGGTAGAACCCCACATTTTACAGTCAATGCCAGCTGCTGTCTGCAGAGCCACTAGCTTCTGAGGCGTTTGGGTTTTCCCTTCTAAACAGAAGCAAGAAGATCAAGCTACGGGAGTTCTTATCAAATCGGCAGTGACTTATCTGTCATGGCCTAGTCCCAACAGGAATTCTGCTTATTTATTTTTGCATTGATTTCCCCCCTTGGCTTAAGCTCGCAGCCGAAGAGCTGGGAGTTTAATGTGATTCTAGAGCAGACATGCCTCACCGCCCACCTAAAGTCTGTGTTGCCACCACCCGTGCCTCCACCACTTGGGGAATGGAGACCTTGAAATAAGTATGTGGATCTCCCAAATTCAAAATGGGATTACAGCGAGAAGACCTCATCAGAGAATTTTTGTCAGCTGGGAACTGAATAGATCTTTTTTATTCCCTAGAGCCATCAGGCCCAGGCATTTAAGAGAAACCCTGGCCCCTTAGAGCTGCAGCTTCGATTAGGATGACCTTTTCCCTTTCACTGCACAGACCAAGGGCTGTGCATGGGCCCTGAAGGGAGGGAGCTGGTTTTGGCGGTTGGAGGGCAGGGATTCTCACTAATCCTCCTTGAGAATCCTGCTAGTGCTCAGGAGGTGTTCATTTTTACTTTAAATTATTTTTGTTTTTGTATTTCTCTTTGTAGTGGCACCTATCACTCTCGAGATGAGAGTACAGACAGCGGACTGAGCATGAGCAGCTACAGTGTCCCTCGAACCCCGGATGACTTCTTGAACAGTGTTGATGAAATGGATACAGGTTGGTATTCCATATCCCTCTGAGGAAGTGACTGTCAGGCAAGTACCATCGTTTTATCAGGGCTAATAAACGGTGAGCAACAATTACTCAGAAGAAGCCATTAAAATTCTATCAACTTCAAATTGTGCCTTCTTTTATGGTAATTTGTAATTTAAGCCTTTTCTCAGTTTTTAAATGTGATGGAATCTTAGCTCTATTTGAACAAAATGAGGAATGACTTACTTTATTTATTTTTTAATCCTTAACCTGAGGATATTTTTACATTGGTTTTTAGAGGGAGGGAAAGATGGAGAGAAACATCGATGTGAAAGAAGCACATTGATTGGTTGCCTTCTGCACAAGGCCTGACCAGAGCTCAGCCCAGTGAGGAGCCTGCAACTGAGGAAGGTGCCCTTGACCCGAATTGAAACCCAGACCGTTCGGTCTGCAAGCTGACGCTCTATCCGATGGGCTAAACCTGCTTGGGCAAAGACATGACTTATTTTAGCATTTAAAGTAGTGAATAGTTGGCAGGGGAAATCAGGACCTTATTAGAATTCTCTATTAATAGAGACTTATAGTCGTAATTTTGGAGAGAGATTTCTATATGTGATTCAGTGTCTGCCTTCCTCTTTTCTCTGAGGGCTTTGCTCCAACTTAGGTGTTACGGGGCTCAGGAAACCAAGTGGGGAAGGCTTGGTGAGGGGATTCGCTTGCTTTATTGTTAGAACAGTTACAGGAGTCTTGCAGGTGCAGAGAAATACCTGCCTCCCAGAGTCATTGAGGAACCCTTTCTCCTATGGCTCACATGATTGCCCTGGACTTGGCAGCTGTCAGAGGGCAGGAACTGGCAGGAACGTGCAGCCATTCTCAGCTAGCGGGTTCTCAGCTGACAGTGTTTGGCAAGTCTTTTGTAAAACCCTGTGCTCGTGCAGCTCATGGCTGTGATGCTTCCTAGAATTCCCTGTCCCCCTTTGTCTCGGCTTATCTAAACCTTCAGTCATCCTTAGGAGTCACTTCAGACCCGTCTCATTCAAACACATTTCCTTACTCCTGTTCTCAGGTTGTCTTTTCTCCAAATCACTATAGCACTTAATGGTTCATATTAATTTTTCTGAAAATTGGAGCTCTAAGGAATGTTAACTTTGTCATGTGCCCCCAAAAAGGGTTTTGTAGCCAGGCAAATTTGGGAAACCAGAAGCAAAGCAAGGAGGATTTATTTATTCAAGGACTTCTTGGGAGACTTGCTTTGCTGTATTATGAAATGTGAATCTCCAAGAGTGGAATAGAGTTTTCATCCAGTCCTTTATTTTAGTGTTTCCCAAAGTGTATTTAGGGAGAGATGGGACTATATCATTTTTTCCTATTTCCTCTTACGCTGGTGTTCATGTCTGGAAGAGAATCAGGCGGTAACGCTTTTGTGTGGTGTGCTTGCTCCCTCTCCCTTGCTGTATATAATTTTGCAGGGGATTTTTACTTTTATTTTAGCCCTCCCCTTCCTTTAGCGCTCAGCACATAGTGATACGCAAGCAGTCAAATTGTTGGTTAAATATGTGGACAAATGTTGAAGCAGAAGTAACCTTGGCATTGTTATTTATGAGTTGTTTGGTCTAATATAAGCTGTGCATCATTTCAGGTCAGTCAGGAGTGCTTTTCTTTACGCATTTCTGAGTGCTCTCACATGATACAGCTCTGTTCTTTTCCACAAGAACCTTATTCTGTCTCTTTCTCTGTTCCAACTAGGTGATACTATCAACCAAAGCACGCTGCCCTCACAACAGAATCGTTTTCCAGACTACCTTGAAGCCATTCCTGGGACAAATGTGGACCTTGGAACACTGGAGGGAGATGGAATGAACATAGAAGGAGAGGAACTGATGCCAAGTCTGCAGGAAGCTCTGAGTTCTGACATCCTTAATGACATGGAGTCCGTGTTGGCTGCCACCAAGCTAGATAAAGAAAGCTTCCTTACATGGTTATAGAGCCCTCAGGTAGACTGAATTCTAAATCTGTGAAGGATCTAAGGAGATAAGACACACATACCAGAAATTTCCAAATAAGCCAGTTGCGATCTCCTGGCTAATACAGAAAAAGATGAACAAACGTCCAGCAAGATTCTTTCATCCACTGTTTTGCTCTTCCTTGTCCATTGCTGCTGTTACTATATTGCTGGCCTCTTTCATAGTTGGCCCTAAAGAATCAAAGCCACAAAACTTTTTGTTTCTTTTGCTATTATAACTACTGTTTGTTTTGGGGGCTAGGGGAAATGAGCCTGTTTTGATGATGGATGCCATTCCTTTTGCCCAGTTAGATGTTCACCAATTATTTTAACTAAATAGACAGACCTGGAAGTCAGATGCTTCATGTCACCACATTTAGTTTGTTTAAGCAATTATTTCTTCAGCTGCTTTTGGCCAGTGGAAAAACATGGCTTACTGGTCTGATAAACCAAATATGTTGTGTCTGATATTAAGTACTTAATGATGATTTGGAGAGATAGCTGAAACCAAGGCTGAAGACTGTTTTACTTTCAGTGGGTTTTTTTTTTTGTTTTGTTTTGTTGTTTGTTTTTTCCTCCTAGTGCTATATCATTAGTCACTTACTGACTTTGATTTTATTTTAGGAGCTTATAAGGCATGAGACAATTTCCATAGAAATATATTAATTATTGCCACATACTCTAGTATAGGTTTTGATGGGTTTTATTGTGGGTTCGTTTTGTTTTGGTTGATTGGGTTTTTGTTTTTGTTTTGTTTTTGTTTTTGTGGGTGTGTTTTTTTTCTGGAACTGAGGCAAATGACCATAGTAGTGAATCTGTTTATAGTTGTAGCTGGGATGATTATTATAGTTTCTTTGGTAAAATCTACATCTACATTTCCTGATTTTTTACATTTTTATTTAAATCTTGATTATCTGCTCTCTCCATATATATATGTTTGTGTGTGTGTATGTACATATATATACACACACACACATACTTATACACATACACACACACCCTTACACACATAATTTTATATGATAGTGTGATAGCAGAATGTTTTTTTGTCTTGTTTTGTTTTTGGTTTTTTTTTAGGTTTCCCTACTTTCCAATTTATTTTAAAGTGGTAGTTTTGAATCTATGCATTTAGAATACATGACTGATAGTTTATATTTCACAGGTAGTTTAAATCTGGTTGGGGCAGTCTACAGATGTTCGAAGAAGTTTCATGTTCTAGAAAGGCTGTTGTTATGGATATTATCTGATGAATTTGAAAGTAGCAAACAGGAAATGGCTGTATTTTCCCCTTCTTTCTCCCTTGAACTAATTTTAAGTCTTGATGGGCAATCACTGAGTAGGTTCATAATGTACATGATAAAAGTAAGCTTTATGTGGTCATGCCCCTGCCTGTAGTTTTGGAAGTTTTACCTTTACCTTAGTTTTGGAAGTAAATTCTAGTTATTTTAGTTGTCATTTTGTTAATGATCATTAACTACATCGAAATATTGCCTACAAGACTATTCATATAGGACTTGCTCCTACTTCTGTATACTGAGAATTGACCCTGGACAGTATAATACTGTACGGTCATGCGTTAGCTGATAAAGTAGTCAGATTAATAAACGTATATTGGTAGTTGACTTTAGCAAAGAAATAGTGATAATCGTGAGTATACTTTTATTTTTACAGGAAGAGATATTACTAGAGTATGTGTCTACAGGAGTAATAATGGTTTCCAAAGAGTATTTTTTAAAGGAAAAAAATGAGCATGCATCCACTCTTCAGTATAAGCTATGAAGGAATAGTTGGGTATGAGTTATAGTGGCATCAGCTAGCACCTCTGTGACTAAGGGTCTTTCAGTGTTCCTAGAGTAACCCTTATTTTCAAGGGTTTATAACATTCATAAAATCTCTTTTCCTGGCTAAACCTGTTAAGAAAACCTCAGCTTAGGAAGATAGACTTTTTTTTTCTAATTACAAAATCTAAGTATTTTGACCCTTCAGTTTAGAGAAGTACAAAAGTTGGAAGTAAAGTTTCATATTAAGTATTTTCAGTGCTCAGAAACAATGCAATCTCTATGTTATATATAAGGATTAATAGGTCAATCACTCACAATAATTGACTCTAAGGCTTTTTATTAAAAAAACACCAGAAAGATTAAATCTTGAAATAAGTCTGGGGGAAAGTGGCCACTGTGCAGATACATTGATTTTTTTTTTTTTTTAGAGCAATAATGAAATTGTACTTAGAATGCATAATTGAGTATATGGATGATATAGCATGTTGGGTTTTTACCGTGTAGAAAATAAAGCTATTTGGAAGGAGTGCCTACAGTTTGCCAGTAAGCGGCAAGTCAAGATCATATCGTATATATCAGCAAAGTAGCTCTAGGTAAGGGAGGGGCGGGGAGGGGGTTGTGAAGACTTAGTGGGACTTTGATAGAGAACTTTATAACCTTTTCTTCAGTAAGGACTGTATCTTGCATCTTGCTGTCATTGAAGGCAGCTATTCCTAAAATTTCAATCACTTAAGCACACCCACAAAAATGAAACTATGGAGTTCTTCATTTCCCCTCGACTTTCATTTGCCCAGTGATACCTCAATGTCATGGCAGCACTGTGGTCCGAGACAGGCACAGTACTCTGACCTTGTCTCCCTCTTTACTGACCTGAGGGAGACCTGAGTCCTTTCTCTTTCACAGACTCAGTATGGTCTTTCTTGTTTTATGTCCTTGTTCCTAGTGTAAAAGTGTTTAACTGCTTCTTGATTGTTATGGGTAGCATTGGGATAAGATTTTTAACTGAGTATTCTTGAAATGCTTTTACAATAAACCAGTTTTTATAATCTTTAAATTTTATCAGCTTTTTACATTTGTGTTCTTTTCAATTAGGGCTAAGATCTACTTTTGGTTGATGGAGCACATTGATTTAGCGTTTCAGATTTTCCAAAGCACTATTTTCTATAATAACTATTTTCTAAATATAGTGCCTTTAAAAAAAAAAGAAAAAGAACAAAGGAAATGACTTTTATAAATAAATAATGTTACTGTTTTAAGTATTCATATTAAATAGATGCATTCTGTATGGAACCTTGGCAAAAACACTGAAAATAACAGTAATTAATTGTGTAATTCATAATTCATACCAATCAGTGTTGAAACTTAAACCGTGCAAAGTGGAAGCCAATATCCAGTGATTAACATCTTCATAGCTTTTGCACATCTGAGAAGTGAGTGCTCAGATGAACTTTATCTTCCGCCAGCATGTTTTTATAAGAATTGTGGGTGTGTCTATCTTATCAATTGTTTCTGTATCTTGAAAAAGTATCCTCCACATTTTAAATGTTTTATATTAGAGAATTCTTTAATGCACACTTGTCAAATATATATATATAGTACCAATGTTACCTTTTTTGTTTTAGATGTAAGAGCATGCTTATCATATGTTAGGTACTTACATAAATTGTTACATTATTTTTTCTTATGTAATACCTTTTTGTTTGTTTATGTGGTTCAAATATATTCTTTAAACTCTTCTTTTGTTGTTTTTAACAATTAATATATTTAAATGTTTTGGCTTTTCGACTTCCAATATAACTACTGGTGATCAAAAAATAAATGGTGATTCTAGTAGTAACTGGTACAGAGGTGAACGTAAGGTAAGCTTGTCATTTGAACTTGTGAAGCACAGATTGAATTCTCTGAGTTTTCTGCTCTGCACTCGTCATGTAGACCATCCCCGTCAATGGTAGTGTGTAAGCAGAATTGCCACTTTCATCTTAAGTAGCTTTACTACACACACAGAAGAAACAGAAGAACTTAACATATTCTTTCAAAATAGTCTTTGGTTTTATTTCTCAAAAATATTGGCTCTTGGTATCTAAAAATATAACGCTTATAATAGTGAAAATTATTAGTTAATGTTTTATAAATAAAAAACTCACAAATTTAAATGGTAGGTTCTGAACTTTAAGAAGTAGATTTGATTGGCCGAAACCTGTTTGGCTCAGCAGTAGAGCGTCGGTCTGTGGACTGAAAGGTCCCGGGTTCGATTCCGGTCAAGGGCTGTACGTTGGTTGCAGGCACATCCCTGGTCGGGGGTGTGCAAGAGGCAGCTGATCGATGTTTCTCTCTCATCGACGTTTCTAGCTCTCTATCTCCCTTCCTCTCTGTAAAAAATCAATAAAATATATTTTTTTCAAAAAAAAAGTAGATTTGATTCTCTGAAAATTATTTTTTAATGGTTTTTTAAAAATATGTATTGATTTTTAGAAAGAATGGGGGAGAGAGAAACATCAATGTGAGAGTGAAACATCAATTGGCTGCCTTCTGCATTTCTCCTATCAAGAATCAAGCCTGTAATCTGAGCATGTGCCCTGACCAGGAACTAAACCAGTAACCTTTCAGTGCATGGGACAACACCCAACCAACGGGCAACACCTGCCAGGGTGAAAACTATTTCTGTTTGTATATAATATAGTCAATTATTTTTTTGTTTTGTTAATCCTCACCCACGGATATTTTTCCATTGATTCTTTATGGAAAGTGGAAGAGAGGGAAAGACAGAAACAATAATGTGAGAGAAACACATCAATAGGTTGCCTCCTGCATAAGCCCTGACCAGGACCTAGGCCGGGGAGGAGCCTACAACCAATGTATGTGCCCTTGACCAGAATCGAACCCAGGATCCTTCAGTCTGCAGGCCTACGCTTTATCCATTGAGCCAAATCAGTTAGGGCTTTATCTTCAACTAGAGGCCTGGTGCATGAAATTTCATGCACTGGAGCAAGGGGTTCCCCAGCCCAGTCTGCACCCTCTCACAGTCCAGGATCCCTTGAGGGATGTCTGACTGCCTGGGAAGCAGGCCTAAGCCTGCAGTTGGATATCTCTCTTGCAGTCTGGGACCCATTACTCCTTACCGCCCACCTGCAGCAAAGGTGCGAGAGGATCCCTCCATCACCACTGGGCTTGCCAGCCGTGAGCCTGGCTTCTGGCTGAGCAGCACTCCCCCTGTGGGAGCACACTGACCACCAGCGGGCAGCTCCTGCATTTAGTGTCTGCCCCCTGGTGATCAGTGCATGTCATACAACCGGTCATTCTGCTGTTAGGTTGATTTGCATATTGGGGTTTTATTATATAGGATGACATCAGTTTTAGAGAAGCTAATCTAAAAACTTCATATTTTGTTACAATTTCTTTATAATAGAAGAACACTAATAACATG